GTCGCGCAGCTCAGCCACCCGGCCATCTTTGAGCTCGTCGGGCTGCCCAAGACGTTGACACGCTCATTGAGGAGGCGACGAAGCGCAAGTGCCCTCGACCGGCATGGACGTGTCGGACCCCATGATCTGCCTGCTGTGCGGCGACGTCTTCTGCGGTCAGGCCGTCTGCTGCCTCAAGGAGGAGGCGTTGTCGGGCAACCGGGAGCGCAGCGCATCGGCGGGTCGCAGCAGCACATGCGGAAGTAAGCCTCACTCCCCTCCGTCTACCCGACTGACCCCTCCCTCCCCCCCCCCTCTCACACACTCATCGTTTCTGTGAAGGGTCATGAATCGCTCGCTTACAGATAGGCACAGATGCCAGAAGAACATTGGCCTCTTTCTCAACATTCGCAAGTGCTGCATCTTCTACCTCTCCCGCATGTCGGGCTCGTACAGCAGCGCGCCCTACATTGACAAGTACGGCGAGACGGACCTTGGCCTGCGCCACGGCCGGCAGCTGTTTCTGAGCCAGCGGCGGTACGACTCGATGCTGCGCAACACGTTCCTCAGCCACGGCGTGCCGAGCTTCATCAGCCGCAAGCTCGAGGCCGAGATTAACAACGGCGGGTGGGAGACGATTTAGGTAAAGGGGGCTCGTCGAGAGCCCCTCTGCGCAGTGCAGTGGAGGGCACCGTATTGAAGGGGCACGCATCACTTACAGGAGACGGGACAAATGCATAAAGGAAGGGGGGCGGAGAGCATGAAGGGCGTTTCTGTCTCACTCTCGCTGTATCCGTGTAACCCCCCCCCCCTGGTTTAGACACACCAATGATGAACGAACGCTATGTCATTTCGCGAGACGTACGGTGAATCGAGATGATGATGAGTATTAACTTTGTAAGATAAAAGGGGGAATTCTACGTCTTCCAGATTCAACAGGCTCTCATCACTCATGCACGCCGATGCAGGCTAGACGGCGCAGCCTATGCTCACGCGCTCGTGCCGTCCATCGCACGTCGTCGTCTTCCATCTTGATGGGCGGCTCGGCGCTCCGGCTCGTCTCGGCGGGCGCCAATGGCGGCGTCACGCCGTTCTCCGCGTGCCCATGGGCGCCGCCGCTGCCGTTCGTCAGCGCGGCGGTCGCCTCTGTGGCGTGGACAAAGACGCACAGGGACCCGTCCTGGCCAGCCGTCACCATGGTGTCGCCCCTGACATCGACCCAGAAGCAGACGAGGCCGGGGTGGGCGTGCAGCCTCTGGACGACCTCCTTGGAGGACACGTCCCAGAGGACGACGTCGCCGTCCTCGCTCGCCGACGCGACAAAGGCGCCGCCGTCGGGCAGCAGGCCAAAGCAGCCGCCGACGGCATAGCCGGCGTTCTTGTGGCCCTGGTAGGTCTTGCGGACGGTGCCGGCGACGTAGTCCCAGAGGCGGATGCAGCCGTCGAGGTTGAAGGCGAGGACGAAGCGGCTGTTGGGGGCGAAGCAGACGGCCGTGACGGCGGGGTTGTCCTCGTGGACGAGGGTCGAGAGGCACTGGCCGGTGTACGTGTCCCATATGCGGATGAGGCCGTCGGTGGAGCAGCTGACGACGAGGGTGCCGTCGTGGGAGAAGCCGATGCCGGAGACGGGGTCGGAGTGGGCGGGCAGGGAGCGCATGAGGCGACCGGCGCGGACGTCCCAGAGAAAGACGGCCTCGTCGTGGGCCGCCCGAGGCGAGGACGTTGCCCTTTGGGCGAAAAGGCAAGT